CCACCAAGTAGTAATAGTCTTAAGTTGTCTGAATTTCTTAGATGAAGCCTTGGCAATTATTATTCATTTTTGACTAGTATTTCTTTCATCTTATTTCTCTTGCTTTTCCACCAAGTAGTAATAGTCTTAAGTTGTCTGAATTTCTTAGATGAAGCCTTGGCAATTATTATTCATTTTTGACTAGTATTTCTTTCATCTTATTTCTCTTGCTTTTCCACCAAGTAGTAATAGTCTTAAGTTGTCTGAATTTCTTAGATGAAGCCTTGGCAATTATTATTCATTTTTGACTAGTATTTCTTTCATCTTATTTCTCTTGCTTTTCCACCAAGTAGTAATAGTCTTAAGTTGTCTGAATTTCTTAGATGAAGCCTTGGCAATTATTATTCATTTTTGACTAGTATTTCTTTCATCTTATTTCTCTTGCTTTTCCACCAAGTAGTAATAGTCTTAAGTTGTCTGAATTTCTTAGATGAAGCCTTGGCAATTATTATTCATTTTTGACTAGTATTTCTTTTCATCTTATTTCTCTTGCTTTTCCACCAAGTAGTAATAGTCTTAAGTTGTCTGAATTTCTTAGATGAAGCCTTGGCAATTATTATTCATTTTTTGACTAGTATTTCTTTCATCTTATTTCTCTTGCTTTTCCACCAAGTAGTAATAGTCTTAAGTTGTCTGAATTTCTTAGATGAAGCCTTGGCAATTATTATTCATTTTTTGACTAGTATTTCTTTCATCTTATTTCTCTTGCTTTTCCACCAAGTAGTAATAGTCTTAAGTTGTCTGAATTTCTTAGATGAAGCCTTGGCAATTATTATTCATTTTTGACTAGTATTTCTTTCATCTTATTTCTCTTGCTTTTCCACCAAGTAGTAATAGTCTTAAGTTGTCTGAATTTCTTAGATGAAGCCTTGGCAATTATTATTCATTTTTTGACTAGTATTTCTTTCATCTTATTTCTCTTGCTTTTCCACCAAGTAGTAATAGTCTTAAGTTGTCTGAATTTCTTAGATGAAGCCTTAACAATTATTATTCATTTTTGACTAGTATTTCTTTCATCTTATTTCTCTTGCTTTTCCACCAAGTAGTAATAGTCTTAAGTTGTCTGAATTTCTTAGATGAAGCCTTGGCAATTATTATTCATTTTTTGACTAGTATTTCTTTCATCTTATTTCTCTTGCTTTTCAACCAAGTAGTAATAGTCTTAAGTTGTCTGAATTTCTTAGATGAAGCCTTGGCAATTATTATTCATTTTTGACTAGTATTTCTTTCATCTTATTTCTCTTGCTTTTCCACCAAGTAGTAATAGTCTTAAGTTGTCTGAATTTCTTAGATGAAGCCTTGGCAATTATTATTCATTTTTGACTAGTATTTCTTTCATCTTATTTCTCTTGTTTTTCCACCAAGTAGTAATAGTCTTAAGTTGTCTGAATTTCTTAGATGAAGCCTTGTCAATTATTATTCATTGTTGACTAGATTTCTTTTCATTTATTTTCATCTTATTTCTCTTGCTTTTCCACCAATTATTAATATTTTGACTAGTTGTCTGAATTTCTTAGATAAAGGCTTGTTGTCAATTATTATTCATTTTTATTATTATTTTTTCTTTCATCTTATTTCTCTTGCTTTTCCACCAAGTAGTAATAGTCTTAATTTGCCTGAATTTCTTAGATTAAGCCTTGTCAATTATTATTCATTTTTGACTAGGATTTCTTTCATCTTATTTCTCTTGCTTTTCCACCAAGTAGTAATAGTCTTAAGTTGTCTGAATTTCTTAGATGAAGCCTTGGCAATTATTATTCATTTTTTGACTAGTATTTCTTTTCATCTTATTTCTCTTGCTTTTCCATAAGTAGTAATAGTCTTAAGTTGTCTGAATTTCTTAGATGAAGCCTTGGCAATTATTATTCATTTTTGACTAGTATTTCTTTCATCTTATTTCTCTTGACCAAGTAGTAATAGTCTTATGTTGTCTGAATTTCTTAGATGAATGGCAATTATTATTCATTTTTTCACTAGTATTTCTTTCATCTTATTTCTCTTGCTTTTCCACCAAGAAAATAGTCTTAAGTTGTCTGAATTTCTTAGATGAAGCCCTGGCAATTATTATTCATTTTTTGACTAGTATTTCTTTCATCTTATTTCTCTTGCTTTTCCACCAAGTAGTAATAGTCTTAAGTTGTCTGAATTTCTTAGATGAAACCTTGGCAATTATTATTCATTTTTGACTAGGATTTTTTCATTTTTATTTCTCTTGCTTTTCCACCAAGTAGTAATAGTCTTAAGTTGTCTGAATTTCTTAGATGAAGCCTTGGCAATTATTATTCATTTTTGACTAGTATTTCTTTCATCTTATTTCTCTTGCTTTTCCACCAAGTAGTAATAGTCTTAAGTTGTCTGAATTTCTTAGATGAAGCCCTGGCAATTATTATTCATTTTTGACTAGTATTTCTTTCATCTTATTTCTCTTGCTTTTCCACCAAGTAGTAATAGTCTTAAGTTGTCTGAATTTCTTAGATGACGGCAATTATTATTCATTTTTGACTAGGATTCTTTCATCTTATTTCTCTTGCTTTTCCACCAAGTAGTAATAGTCTTAAGTTGCCTGAATTTCTTAGATGAAGCCTTGGCAATTATTATTCATTTTTGACTAGTATTTCTTTTCATCTTATTTCTCTTGCTTTTCCACCAAGTAGTAATAGGCTTAAGTTGTCTGAATTTCTTAGATGAAGCCTTGTCAATTATTATTCATTTTTTTGACTAGTATTTCTTTTTTCATCTTATTTCTCTTGCTTTTCCACCAAGTAGTAATAGTCTTAAAGGGAATTTCTTAGATTAAGCCTTGTCAATTATTATTCATTTTTTGACTAGTTTTTTCATCTTATTTCTCTTGCTTTTCCACCAAGTAGTAATAGTCTTAAGTTGCCTGAATTTCTTAGATGAAGCCTTGGCAATTATTATTCATTTTTGACTAGTATTTCTTTTTCATCTTATTTCTCTGCTTTTCCACCAAGTAGTAATAGTCTTAAGTTGTCTGAATTTCTTTTATGAAGTCAATTATTATTCATTTTTCACTAGTATTTCTTTCATCTTATTTCTCTTGCTTTTCCACCAAGTAGTAATAGTCTTAAGTTGTCTGAATTTCTTAGATGAAGCCTTGGCAATTATTATTCATTTTTGACTAGTATTTCTTTCATCTTATTTCTCTTGCTTTTCCACCAAGTAGTAATAGTCTTAAGTTGTCTGAATTTCTTAGATGAAGCCTTGGCAATTATTATTCATTTTTGACTAGTATTTCTTTCATCTTATTTCTCTTGCTTTTCCACCAAGTAGTAATAGTCTTAAATTGCCTGAATTTCTTAGATGAAGCCTTGGCAATTATTATTCATTTTTGACTAGTATTTCTTTCATCTTATTTCTCTTGCTTTTCCACCAAGTAGTAATAGTCTTAAGTTGTCTGAATTTCTTAGATGAAGCCTTGGCAATTAATATTCATTTTTGACTAGTATTTCTTTCATCTTATTTCTCTTGCTTTTCCACCAAGTAGTAATAGTCTTAAGTTGCCTGAATTTCTTAGATGAAGCCTTGGCAATTATTATTCATTTTTGACTAGTATTTCTTTCATCTTATTTCTCTTGCTTTTCCAACAAGTAGTAATAGTCTTAAGTTGTCTGAATTTCTTAGATGAAGCCTTGGCAATTATTATTCATTTTTGACTAGTATTTCTTTCATCTTATTTCTCTTGTTTTTCCAAAGTAGTAATAGTCTTAATGATCTGAAAAAACAAAAGATGAAGCCTTGTCAATTATTATTCATTGTTGACTCAGGTAGTATGAAAGGGGGCTAAAACGGACACCCCAATACTGGTATAAAGCTAACAAAGACACGGAATCTCGTTGAAAGTCAGTGTATTATAGGAACTGCTTTAAGAGTTTCATATCGGAAGAATGCCGTCGGGTACTGCAACCGGAATATTAGTCGGGGGAGATGGCAACTGATCAACCGATCTTCTAATAATTTTAGATCGGAAGAAGGCCAGAGTCTGCAGCAACCGAATAACTGGAAATATGGCAACAAACGCTAAGGAAACTGGCCCAAATGAATGAATGCATGATGATAAAATCTAGAATCTGAAAGCTAATCCAAAAGAAGGCTGTAGATTGTTGCGGCTGGAATGCGGATACAAAGTCGAGGAAATACGTTCCATTGAATTAGGTTTCCGTTTATTTTATGTCATTTAATTTGTTCAACACTCGCGAAAAACACCCACGTGTACGCCCCCACACAACCACGCATACTTCCCTCCCTCCACACACACGCATGCACACACGTACACACACAACCTCTGGCAGTGTTGCAAAATGTGACTTTTTTTTTTATTTATTTTAAACACATGTGAGGAGACTGAAAATTTGGATCAAAGGCCTATGTACCCGCTGAACTTTTCGTTTATACGAGGGTGGATGGTTTGACATGAGGCCGTGAATAGGTGGGCGAAAAGAATGAAATTTAGTAGGGAACGCGGAAATGGAAAATAAGGGAATCACAAAAAGTAAGAAAGGAGTAGGGGGTGTCACGTGTTTGTTTGGGGGTTTGAATTCCGATTATTTTTTCACTGTTTCCAAGTAAACCATTTTGTTTAATGTCTTTTATTTAGTTTATTGTTTGGTAGTAAAAAAAATCGGCTGGGGGAAGGAAGGAAGGAAGGAAGGAAGGAAGGAAGGAAGGAAGGAAGGAAGGACGAACATGTGACTTGAATTATTTGAAAAATAAATGGCCGGAAATATATTATTGAAAATAAGAACGAACGAAGAAAAGAAAGAAAAGCTTGAGAAAAAGAAAATTAAGAAAATGAAAAGAAAAGAAAGAAAACTAGAAAAAAAGAAGAATAAAAAAAAAAAAGAAATTGGAAAAAAAAAAATAAGAAAATGAATGATTAAAAATGGAAAGAAAAAGAAAATAAAAAAAAAAAAAATAAGAAAAAATACTGACAAAAAAAAAACAATAAAAAGAAAGAAAGAAAGAAAGAAAGAAAGAAAGAAAGAAAGAAAGAAAGAAAGAAAGAAAGAAAAGCCTAAATTATGACAAAGAAAAATCATAATAAAAAAAAGAAAAAAAGAAAGAAGCGTTGGGAGAAAGAAAGAAAGAAAGAAAGAAAGAAAGAAAGAAAGAAAGAAAGAATGATGGTTGAAATAAGAGAAAAACATTTGCATGAAATAAAAGAAACAAAGAAGCGACCAAAAGAAAGAAAGAAAGAAAGAAAGAAAGTTGGGTGAAATCAAAGCAAAAACATTTGCATGAAATAAAAGAAACAAAGAAGCGACCAAAGGAAGGAAAGAAAGAAAGAAAGAAAGAAAGAAGCGTTGGGAAAAAGAAAGAAAGAAAGAAAGAAAGAAAAGCATAAAAAATCACAAAATAAGACAAAAAAATGATAAGAAAGAAAGAAAAAGATTTTAAAAGAGAAAGGTGTTAAAGTGAAACAAAGAAATGGTGTGAACGAAGAAAGAAAAAGAAAGAAATCTAGAATAAATCAATTAAGCATGAAATTTAGAAAGAAAGAGAAAACAAGGATGAAAGAAACAGCGACAAAGAAAACGAAAGAAAGGACGAGAAAGCAAAAAGTAACTCAAAAATAAATGAAAATCAAAACAAAATAAAAGGAAGTCGAATTCATTTTCTGTTTTTTTTTCTTTCTCGAATCCTCAACGCATTGGGGCGTCCCTTTTGCTTCGAGGCTATAAGTCCCCTCTAATGGGTCCCAGCCTAATAATTACGATTCAACCAAAGGTAAACTTCTACAAACCGGCAATTCTGCCCACATCTTTTCAAAATTGAACGCGCCTCCTTACAATCAGAACACAGCCTCCACGAACTCCTATTTTTGTTTTCCTGATAGAAATGTCATTCTTTTTTTATACCGAGGTAAAGTTCGCATTTTGGTAAAATGGTCGACGAACCGAGATTGCTAGTAAACATCAGCTTTCAGCTTAGAGACGCCCATCTCAACGTATCCCCGTTTGTCGAGGGTAGTGATTTTCAACTGGGCGTGCCGAGAGAGGGTCATAGGTGTGAGGCAAAAATCTTTTAAAGGTTATTAATTAAATTATTTTCAAAAGAAATCCAAAGCAAAATAAGACTACATATCAAAATTAAAACACTTTTAATCGATTATACGAGCATGTCTTTGTTAGAATGAAGAAAAATATACGTAATCCATAAAATAATACAAAAAGCAAGTTGGTCTGCAATAAAAAAAAAATTAAATTGAAAAATCGATATTTTTAAAATTTCATACTTTACAAGCAATATATTTTTATATAAAAATACACAAAGCATATAATGAAATGACCAGCAATACACTTTATCTGTAGTTGAAGCTATAAAACTGTGTTCAAATTATTTAGATTTTGCTATTAAATAACCCATAGAGTTTGACATGCCGCTAAACAAAATCAACCAGACCAAACCAATCAAATTATTTAGATTTCGGCTTTAAAATCCCATATAGGTATTGATATGCCGCTAAACAAAATCAGTCAGACCAAACCAATCAAATTATTTAGATTTCGGCATTAAATAAGCCATATAGGTATTGATATGCCGCTAAACAAAATCAGTCAGACGAAACCAATCAAATTATTTACATTTCGGCTTTAAATAACTGTTATGGAGTGGTTTCACAGTGGAGGCTTGTATTTCACTAAGTCGGTCCTAAAATAGGTTCGACGTACAAAACGTTAGGAACTTGATATAATAGGTAATGACGCAGATAAATCTAGTTGTGGTGGCTGATACTTTAGTATCCGACTAACGGTCGTCCGGCATCGACTGACTGACCAACTCACTCAGCTCACTTCTCATTACTATTACTACTCCTACTTATTATAGGTGGGAGAGTCTATTAACTATAGAATAGGTGTGTTCCACTATAACAATAACCCATCGAGGTTGATATGCCGCTAAACAAAATCAGTCGGACCAACCCAATCAAATTATTTTGATTTCGGCATTAAATAACCCATCGAGGTTGATATGCCGGACTCCCGTAATGCGCCTTAGAAGGTAAGTGCGTAGTTCCTTAGAAGGCCTTCGTTTGCCGTAGCCGGACGCGCGTCGCCCGCCTCGGCAGCGATCGGCGAAATTACTTTACTCGGCGTGGTGAAATGGTTAGCAAGCTTGTCTCGCTAGATTACTTATAACTGAAAAGTGAGTTCGATCCTCACTAGATGCCCCATACTTTCGGCCTTGTGCCACATCTAAGCTATGCTTGGAAAATAACTAAGAAAAGTACTTGCTAAGGCTAACAATTGTGTTCGTGAAACATTACAATTTTCGTCCGCTTCCTTGGAGAAAAGGCTATCGCAGACATTCGCTCATTGAACTAAGGAAAGGGGGGGGGTGATGTATTATTAACACCAGCATGTCAGTGGTTATATGGACTGAGCAATTTTTGTCTTTGGCCCTTATGCACACGTATATGTATGGTATCCCCATGTTGAAAAAAAAGAAAGAAAATCTACCTTCTGTCATATGTTGCCTTATTGAAGAGGCCAGGTAAATATATACTACAGGTTGGAAATACTTTATCCAAAATTATTGGGACCGGAAGTGCTTCGGATTTCAGATTTTGGAATGCAGGCTATTTAATTTGTATATAACATCTATAAAAAGAGGCAACTTGGGAATGGAACCCAAGCATAAACACGATACCCTTTTACATTTCATAACCTAGCTTATATATGACACATTCGGCAGAGGAGGGGCGTATAAAACAAAATATTGAAAATTACTTTATTCACTGCAAATTATTTAATTTGTTTTTTTTTTTAATTTAAAAAGAAAGATTTCTTATAAAAAAAAACAAAAAAAAACACTTGTCATTGCTTTTCTATACAACTTAAGTGCGGAGTAATTTAGACAAGTAAGATCAGTTAAGAGCAGTAAAAAGGCCATTAATTAAGCTTCCGCATACAAAATATCTCGCAGTGAATATAGTTAAACAAAGCCGGTAATGGCGGAGTGATGAACACGAGTGAGTCCGAAATTTTATTATCGATAACACCAAAACTCTTTGTTATTTTTTAATCAAGCATGTAAATTTGCACCTAAATACGACGATTCCAGAAATTTTTATTAGATTCTTAGCACGGGGCTTAAAAGCAAATTACCCCCCAAAACTACCTTTTTTCACACATTCTACCTTAATGAAGAGACCAGGTAAATATAGATTACAGGTTAAGAATCCTTTGCCCAAAATTGTTGGGACCGGAAGTCTTCGGAATTCAGATTTTGGAATCCAGGCTATTTAATTTGTATATAGCATCTATAAAAAGGGTCAACTTATAAGAAAAGGTCATACATACAACCTGAAGATAGTTTTAAAACTACATTCAGGGTATATGTATAAGTTTTTTTTTTATATAGTAAGGTTCACAGTGTACAAGGCCCGGCAGCCACTCAACGTAGAGAGTTAAGAATCCTTTACCCGAATTTCTTGGAAGTTTTCAGATTTTTTCAAATTTTGGAATACAGGCTATTTAATTTGTATATAGCAACTTGGGAATGAAACCAAAGCATAAACACAATATCCCTTTACATTTCATGACAAAATATTAACTTGTTCAAGTCTAGAGCTAAACGTTGTCTCCCTTTCCTATCCATCCACTTAATGTACCCCTCTACCTCAAGTGGCCCTCGGGCCTTGTACAGCTTATAAGAACAGCTTATACAGATACCCTGGAGATATTTTTAAAACTACCTTCAGGGTATATGTATAAGTTTTTTTACAGTAAAGTTCGCAGTGTACAAGGCCCGGCAGCCACTCAATGTAGAGGTTTAAGAATTCTTTATCCGAAGTTCTTGGAAGTTTTCAGTTTTTTTCGGATATTGGAATACATGTTATTGAATTTGTATATAGCATCTATAAAATGGGTCCGCTTGGGAATGGAACCCAAGCATAAACATGATAAACCTTTACATTTCATAACACAGTTGATACATATACCCTGAAGGTAGTTTTATATAAATAACATACATCTTTAAATTAGTTTTATATAAAATTTATTAAATGTTGTGTACATCCAGATACGGGTAATGACGCTAGTCATGTAAAGCTCACACAATACAAAAAAAAAAAAAAATATTATCACTACTTATAAAATAATTTCATAACGTTTTTTATTATTAATAATAAAATTCAGAAAAATTTGTCTACATACAGTTAACATATTATGAAATGGACAAACTCCGACAATTATTTTAAGACATTTTTTTAAAAAAAAGGACGTATAACCATTAAAAAAATGTTTTAAAATACAGTTAAATGTAATGACGCTAGTCAGGAAATGCTTATATAGATTTTTAAGCGATGAAATTAAGATTTCACATAAAAATAATATTTTGTATTTTTTTTATGTGTACAAAAACATAATTATTAGTTTCAAAAACTATATAAATGCAGGACTTTATATTTACTGAGCACAAACACTTATCCATGATCGAAGGTGTT